AGTCCAAGTCGCCTTACCCTCGCGAGCCGGCACGGCAGGAAGGTTATTAGCCGAGCAACCCTTAAGGCTCTTAAGCCGCTCCTAGGAGACGGATCAGTAACGAGAACACCACGAAGGCTAAGGAAACATACCGAAAAGAAGACGGAGAGCATAGTGTTCATCGACTCCAGAGAATTCGCAATATCCAACCGCGTCTTCGCATCAGTGATATTACGAGCCCGCGCCCGACGGCGAGCCAGGGTAGCGCCTGATACCCCGGGAGTAGCAATTGCTGCGATCGCCGCAGCAGCGACTGCCGCTGGAGTCGCAGGCGTATCATCGGCGCCGCGAAGAGCTTTCTTACACTGCTGTTGCAGCGGACCAATAACAGCCTGCTGCGAGTCAGAATAATAATCGCAACGAAGGAGTAACGACATACCGGGTCTGGTTGGGCTTGCTGAAGCGCGTCTGACAACAACCGCGCGGCCTGACGATATTGGGCTTGAACGGGAACANATGTTTTCCCACAGCTCTTGTGGGCACATACTGCGCACTTGGGGCTGGCATCTAGGAGGCGAATTAGAAGAGGACTCGACGTAGAAGGGTTGCGATAACGAACTTGTTGCATCTGTGCAAAGCAGAGGTTGACTCCCAGCTGTCCATTTGCACATATGACCTAGGCAACGACGACAAGGAACGGCTCTATCCACGGGTTAGTTACGGGGCCGATACGAGGGAAAGGAGTCAAANGCACCGGACCGCCCCTGAGAAGTCGGCCTTCGTAAGGATACTGGGCGAGTAAATTGACATAACGCAGGATTTAGGCGGCGAAGGCGAGGGTGATTGAAGGTAAGATCAATGATGCTTTGCCCTTGCTACATCGGAATTCTGGTGGGTTTATATCCCCTTTCGCCCCTTTGTTCCCTGCGAAGAAGCATCGGCCGCTCTGGGTCACAAAGGCGACAAAGAAGCATCACGGAACTGTCACTACGTTCAACTTCCTGTCTATATTTATCCTCAGGAGTACAAAGGGAGGGCCCAAAATAGCAACACGTTCACAGCGAGGACAAAGCGAGCACGAAGCTTGAACCACGTTGAGGCTCTTGCACAGGCGACACCTTTGACAAAGGGGATCGGTCACGAGGTTGGAAAAGGAATATCGTCAAAGGCACCGGGGCGGCGCCTCGGAAGGAAGGGCAACATGTCAGAGCCNATCTAAAGAGGGCGCGGTCGCGCAACGGCCGCGCACCGGCCACGTTACGGGGGCGCGAGCTAAGGGTTGCGAAGCCCTTAGCTTAGCAACAACACTATAAAAGACCTAAAATCTAGGGAAGGAGTTAAGGAAGGCAGAGATAAATACAGTCACTTCGCTACCCTAAGCTTGCGTATTCGCTGTGTAGCTACCTGTGATCATCCCTTATCCCTCTTCACTCTCTTCCACGAACCCGGCTTCTGACATATTTATATTTCTTAAGTAAGGTAACTACTACTATATCTATATATTCCTAGTAACTGCTATTATAGTTATGTAATAAAGTTTAAGTACTGGCTAAATAAACGTTCTACGAGTTGTTTAAGTGCTTATATTACTGAATATATGTATATATTTATTTTGCGGTCCTGCTTTTTCTGTCCTCCGCTTGCCACACTCACGCTCGGCCTTGAGCGCCCCAAACTACCTAGTAACGGTAGTTGTAGTAATTGACGGTCCCGGAAAAGTAATTTCCCGATGAGGGGGGAGGGAGTGGGGGCTTGTACCATAGGTTGTACCGGAAATATTTTTTCCCTTTTTTCCGGAGCAGAACCTTCTCACGTAACCCCATTTGCCGCACTTGTGACAAAAGTGGGGGGAAAAAGGTGGCGCCGACGCCGACGCACGGATCACCACATTCATTTGCGGTGGTGGGGGAGGGGGTTGGATGCGTCTGGTTGAGATTTCGCCTCCGGCTCGGGCTCGGCAACGGACACCACAGTGGGGCCGTGATCGGGTTTAGGTTCTTCCGCCATGCGCAATAGCAGACTTCACCGCTTCTAATGCAAAACCTATTATATTTCCAAAATCTTATCAATAGTATTACTAAATATTTTCTAATACTATAGCCTATTACTTTTTAAATTATACTTAATCTATATTAAATATATATCCTATATTTAAATATTAATATAACCTAGTATTTTATTACACTAGACTTTTAGGTAACTATTTAATAAATCTAATGTCTGCCTATATAATTATATATTAGGTAGTGCTAAAGACAGTACAACAGGGTATCCCGCAGCCCAGATAGTTTAGATAATTCCGGGACTAGATCATCCCCAAGACCGGCAGCCTAAATGTTAGTTACAAACCTATTCTACTTAATATCCATGGTATAATCCCAGGACGCCCAACGGTCCGCAGGCACTTTAGTCTCCTCACGGCAACCAATGGGTCTATCCGCCCATGGGTAAAATTCCGCGCGAGAGTCTTGGGGGGCAGAATGTAGCCCTTAACGGCATTGAATGTCTGCCCCCTTCCCCAGAATGTAACCCTTGAAGGCATTGAATGTCTGCCCTCCCCCGTCACCCTCCCCCGTATCTTTCAGCGGATAGACGGTGTTATCGGTGATCCAACGGCCATGTCTACCTCGACGTGTATGAGGGCCACGGTCGAGACGTGCTTACTCCTCCGCAATAGCCAAGCTGCCAGACCGAACGGCAAAGGTTGCTTGGACTGACCCAACATGAGACATCCATCTGTAGGTGAGTTTTGGTTGCTGTAGACCCCTCAAGCGAAATAAGGTGCGATGACGCCTTTGGTTTACTCGCCTGTCTCTTCCCAGACTTCGCCAGTCCCTTGGGCTAGAAGAAACTCCTGCTTTATGCCAAAGGCTGTCAGGCAACAGCTATATAACCATCCCCTCCATCACAGCCGTCATCAACTTCACATCTCACGGCTGCAAGATGGCGGGCCCCAAGAAGTGGCTCGCAAGTCGAGCCCATCCCGACGCTGGGTACCCGACCAGAATAACGACCAACCTCTGGTCGTTGGATTTCGGCACACTGACTGGCCCGGAGGCCACGAACATCAACAAGACAGTCACTACTTGCTTAGGTTTCAGTTAGTGATACATGGCTTCTATATGGGGATATAATATAGTTGGTATCCCTTGTCGTCTCTTTTATTTTGATTTATAGGCTTCAGAAACAAAACGGAATGGGTACATGTGCTGAGATAAACCGATACACTTAGTCTACCTATAAAAGCCAACGAGCAAAATAAATAATAAACACCACTAAAGAAATTCGGGGACGTTCTCAAATAGCTTGCTATCTCTCTCCCTACCCGAAATAAACTATTCCAATTTTAGATCTAGATGTGCTATGATGTCTCTCCCATCGTACCCCTGGTTCGGGTCTATCACGCTTCATCTGGTATTGTTCGCATGTCTAATCTCGAGCATGGAGGTCTTGGTCTTCACAACGGTGACTTTCTGCTTGGGGCCCCAGTCGGGCTCCCTCTGCTCCGTGCCGATATTCTTACAGGTGATGATGAGTGAGTTGTTCCCCTTCTTAACAGTTCCCAGCATGTGAGAGCCTGCTATCTTCAAGTCCGACGCCTTAGTTATGTCACATAGCTCCAATTTCTCAGGGCTGTTGGCGATGATCCCCTTCATTAACTGCTCGTCCTTCAACTCAAGGCCTCTAGCCTGGTCTGAACTCGTTCTCTAACACGATGATGTCACTAGGCGCGGGCCCGTATTTGAACCCGATTGTAGTGAGTCTCGTGGTGAGTCTCGTCCTTCAAGTAAAGTTGGGTTTCTCAGTCGTTATTGAACACGTGCTCCGGTTGATATTGGTGTCGAGTCTGGCATTTCCGTCCAACATCAACTTCGGAAGCATTCTAGTTGCTGCTGCTGGACTCCTGATGAACGAAGTCTTCCCGGCTTACAGCAAAATGAAGAGATTGTCGCCAAGCTAAATGCAATGATATAGGATTGGATTTGCCATGTCACGCAGTTGTCAACACGTCCGCATAAGAGGCCATAAACACTTGTTGAAAGATCTGCCATCCTATATTTGCGGAGTGCCAGACCAATAGAACACAGCAGCATATTATCAGAAGGATTTCGTTTGGTAACGTAAGGAGGCTGGCGAGCAGCATGGTGAAAATATCGCAGGACTGGAGAACCTCAGTGGGGTTGCGTCTCAGGTTCCATTGTGCTGAAATTGTTTTCATCTCTGTATGACTCATTATCCAATCCATCCTATTTCGGCGTCAAGACTTTCAGCCGTGCCCATTGCACGCAATTGTTTTGGTTTGTTTGATCGTGTAGGGGCTGAAAATAAGGTCGCGTATCGGTGGTAAACAATGGGTTGCTCGTTTTTCCTCCATCTGCCTTTCTCTGTATATTAGTACTACGCAGGCCCATTAATTGGCCATACTAATTTTCCACCTTTTCTTGTCTTTGGCCTACGTTTTCATCTAGAACAACTCTTACAGAATTACGTTGTCAGTCATTGGTCAAGGTTTAAAACGAAATCATCCTATATTTGAGTAAATTCAAGATGGCCTGACGATGTAGCAATGGCCTCTTGTTCAAATGTCCATAACGCCTGTTCCCTTTTGCCTGGTTTCTTCAGACCGCAATCAACGACGAGATATTGCCATTCCGGCTCGACCTAGAGAAAGCAAGAGTACTATCCTCACCATGCCTTGGTGGGAGCTGCGTCTGCGCCCCAGGTGCCACCAGAATCACCTCCGGCGACATCACCACCAGTACCCCAGCCACCGCCAGAGTCTGCAGCATCACCGGAATCTCCAGAGGCGCCCCATCCTCCTGCACCAGAGTCCGGGTTGGCTGTCTCGTCGCCTCCCCAGCCTCCTCCCTGGGAGTCTCCAGCACCAGCAACATCGTTGGGGTCAAAGTCTGACTCCGTCTCAAACTTCACCTTGATGCCGTTGGCATAGTTTTCCGGAATGTAAGACTGAAGGAAGTCGGGAATATCCTGGTTAGTCTCCAACAAGGTTCTGGTAAGAACGCTCGCAATCGCCTCGTCACGATCGGTAAAGAACGAAGTGGCCACTCCTCGGTGACCGATGCGACCAGTACGACCTAGCCACAAGGTTAGTGATTATTAAATAAGAAACATAATAAGAGGAAAAAACATACCAATGCGATGAGTGTACTCTTCGATTCCACCATGATCCATCGAGGGCAGATCGTAATTGATGACGTGCATGACATTGCGCACATCAATACCACGAGCCGTAACTCCAGTGGCAACGAGAATAGGGGCTTGGCCACTGCGAAAAGCTCGCATGGCCGCCTCTCTCTCCACCTGGGTGCGGTCACTATGAATAGAGGTGACCGGAAGCTTCATATTGTACAAGAAGTCGTCCAGCGTATCGGCAGCTTGACGGCTGTTGACAAAGATGATAGTGCGCACACTATTCATCTCCTCAAGAAGGTTGAGAAGAAGCTCATTCTTCTTCTCTCGGCCAGTCTCAATGACAATCTGCTTGATGTTCTCGGTGGTGCTTCCAGCTCGGCCGACACGAAAGCGCACATGAGAAGCGGACAGATATTCCTTGGCGAGGGCTCGAGCCGCGCGAGGGAAGGTGGCCGAAAAAAGGCCATACTTGACATTCCCTTCATCTTGTTCTAAATGGTACACTCATTAGTAAATTGTAGAATTAATTGAGACAAAAGACACATACCTCCACCAGAGAGAATTGCTCGGAGCTCTTCCTCCCAGTCCTGGTTGAGCATCTCATCAGCCTCATCAATGACCATGTACTTGACTCGGCGGAGAGTCAGTCTGTCAGGGCGTCCGATGAAGTCTTTGAGGCGGCCAGGAGTTCCGATGAGGATGTCACAGCCTCGGGAGAGGAGACTCAGTTGCTCACGGACTGGGGTTCCGCCGTACACGACACAAGGTCGCAGCATAGAGCGATAACAGAGCTTTCTGGCTTCATTGAAAATCTGCACCGCCAGCTCACGAGTTGGAACGACGACGACCACAAGTGGCTCCGCAATCACATTGTCAATACCCTCCTGAAAGGTGAGGGGATTGGGACGAGCGGCGCCCAGTTTCTTCGCCTTTCCCATGAGCTTGCTCAAAATGGGAATCAGGTAGGCAGCAGTCTTTCCAGAGCCTTGTAGAAATGTCAGATGATGTGACGAATTGAAAGGAATATATTTTGACTGACCTGTTTGAGCAACGCCGATGACATCGTAGCCTTGCAAGATGGCTGGGATAGTGAACTTTTGGATGGGAGTTGGCACTTGATATCCCGAAAGTTCCACATTCTTCATCATGACAGGATGAATCCCGGCATCAGCAAACGCCTTGATGTACTCAATTCGCTCAGGGCCTTCCTGAACGACATCGATGCTCTCGATCCTGTGTGGTTCAAGTCAGCATAGTCTCGGCATGTAAGGAGATGGAAGACGAACGCAGAAAAATCGAGACCGCCACCAATGTGCTTGTTGCGATCCTCAGCGGAGCCAAAAAGCTCAACTTCAAGCTCCTCAAAGGCTGGACCGACATCTCCGTATTCATCGCTCCACTGATAAATACGAGCATTGCCGTCCCAGGTAGAGCCAGCTTGGGCCTGAGCCATGGCGGTGTAGTCAAAGGCAGTGCGCTCGACCCAGCCAGCAGCGGCGGCCTGGTCCTCGCCCTCGGCGACTTGTGCGTTTTCAGGGATGGCCATCTTGGACAGAAGGATGTCCTGAAGTGGGTGCTGACGTTTGGATGACTAGAGAAGGTCAGATTGGGTTCCTTGCTAAGAAGGGGGACTGAATGAAGAAAAGAAACTGGACGCGTAACAGGAAGTGAGATGTATCTGAATGCAAAGTGAAGTGAGAATGAAAAGTGATGGGGAAGAAGCATGAAGGAACAAATCCTTTGGCGAGAATTTGTGATGACTTGAGGAATCCAATACGGTGTATGGAATCTGGGTAGATGCAGATAGGTGAAGAGAGGTGATCAGCGACCTGGAAATATCACCTGGCAAGAGGAGATGGAGAGAAGAGGCAGTGCGAAGATGCTGAAAGGCGAGAGGCCAAATCAAAACACTCGAAAGTGTTTGAAGCAAATAAAATGGAAGATGATGAGATGGATCACTTACCTTGAAGACTTGATGAGCCTGAAGTCAGCAGTATGCTCTTGGGATCTCTCTTTGCACGAGAGACTGGATGGCTGAAGAGAAGAGAAAAGAAGAGGAGGGGAGAAAAAAAGAAGAGGAAGGGGGGAGGAAGGCTGCCTTCAAATAGTTGCAGCTGACGAGGCAACGGCACGTGCACAGAGGGATTCCTCAAGAAAAGAGCAATTTTTGAGGAAGGTGCAGCTGCCAGCGGACTGATAACACTAGAGGCAAAGCTTTGGGGCGAGAGAGAGGCCTATAGATCAAAGGAAGCGAGAAGAATAGGGGAGAGGAGCGCCTAGGGAGGGAAGATAACTCCCTATAGCCTCGATAAGGAACCTCTTACAAAACGGGTAGGGATATCTTCCGCCATGGTGATGTTTGGCTTTAATCCGTTTGTTTGGCACGATAGCCAGGGTGAAGATGAGTTTAAAGAAGAGGAAAATAAGGGCCTACCGAATGCGCCAAAGATCTAAGAAGTGGCTTTATTTAATATAGACAAGAAAAGGGAAACTTATGATAACACTAATTAAGCACCCGAAAACTAATAGGTTTTTTACCGCTGGTACTTTTTACCTAGTAAGACTTAGAAAGGGAATATACTAAGGTAAGGCAGCCAGCCGTCTGGGAAGATCAGCCGCAGTAAAGCTCAAGGAGAGCAATGTAAGAGACGTTCGCATTGAAGATGCATATTCAGTGAGCGGATGATATCCGTGTGTGCGCGCACGCGTTTGTATGTTTATTTTTCCTCATTAAAATTACAGATATTATCAATTTATCATTTACTATACATAAAGGCTCCAACTCATCTTTTTCATTCCTCTCAAGGCACATCATGGTTTAATAAGCCAGACAAGCCCAGTATAGCACTCTGTGCATATCTATATATGCCATACGCTTACATGTTCTTCAAAATCTTGGTCACACCAGCAATCTTGGTCGCCGACGAGCCATATCCCACCTCGACAACGCCCTGTGTAAAGCGCCAAGAGCGGTCCTGGTTGGCAACGGGATACTGGACAGGAGGAGGAATGGCCGTCTTGATGCCCAGCCAGCCGAAGCGGTCCTCGCAGACGGCCTTTGTGTTGCAGAGGCCGCGGAGCCCTTCCTCGCCGGCGAAGCGGCCGTAGCCAGAGCCGGCGACGCCGCCAAAGGGGAGCTGGACGGCGTAGTAGGCGGCGAAGTCGTTGACGGCAACCATGCCTGCTTTCAGGCCGCGGACGATGGGCTGCAGGGCGGGATCGCGCTCGGAGCCGTGGACGGAGGCGCCGAGGCCGAAGTTGGGGGCGTTTGCGACGGCGAGCATGTCTTCTGCGGAGGAGGAGTTTGCGCGGAGCATGGTGAGGACCGGGGCGAAGCACTCGTTCTGGGCGATGCGCATGGAGGGGGTGACGTCGACGAGGAGGGTGGGCTGGAAGTAGTGGCCCTGGGGGTACTCGGGGTGGGAGAAGCGCTTGCCGCCAGCGAGGAGGCGGGCGCCCTGGGAGACGGCCTCGGCGATGAGGGCCTCGAGGCGGGCGAAGGAGGCGTCGGAGATCATGGCGCCCATGTCGGCCTCGGGGCCGAGGCGGATGGCCTTTACGCGGGGCTCGAGCAGCTGGACGAGGCGGTCGTAGACGGGGCCGGAGGAGATGACGCGCTCGATGCCGATGCAGTTCTGGCCGGCGGCTTGAAAGGTGCCCCTGAGGATGACGTCGACGATGCGAGGCAGGTCGCCGTCTTTCCTGCCGCCGGCGGATTCGAGGACGATGAAGGGGTCCTTTCCGCCGAGCTCGGCGACGACGGGCGTGAGGCTCTTGGCTGCGCTGGCGGCGACGTGGTGGGCGACGGTCTGGGAGCCGATGAAGGTGATGTGACTGATTCCGGGGTGCGACGTCAAGTGGCCGGCTGTTTCGGGCCAGCAAACGACCGTCTGGACGAGCTGCGGATCATGACCGTGAGCGATGAGGGCGCCGCGGACAATGTCGAGGAAGTAGCTGCTGGACCAGGCCGTCTGCTCCGAAACCTTGACGAGGATGGCGTCGCCAGCGAAGAGCGCGCTGATGATGGGGCCCATGAGGTTGTGGAAGGGATAATTCCAGCTAACCAGCGCAGCGACGACGCCCAGCGGCTCGTAGTGCACCGTGTTGCGCTTGTACGACATGAGGAGGTTCGTCGGCCTCGGCGAAGGTTGTAGTGCCTTCTCGCCGTGCTTGAGCGTCCACTGGATCTTCTCCACCGTCACCAGGATCTCGCCCAGCTGCGCGTCCACCATGGTCTTGCCGCTGTCCAAGCCGGCAATACGGCAGATCTGCTCAGCATTATCCATGACATACTTCATCAACGACCGCAGCACCGCCTTTCTCTGCTCAAACGTTGTAGTAGCCCAGACCTTTTGCGCCTCCGCGGCCGAAGCAACGGCTCGATCGATGCCCTCTGCGGTCGTGGGGTTGACATTGCCGAGGAATTGGCCCGTTGCAGGCGCATAGCACTGGATCGCCGAGCTTCCAGACACTTTGATGCTCGTCTGGGCTACTCTGCTGTCTTTTTCGGGCAGTTTTGGGGGCGGCACGATGTAATGGCGTGGGCGGGATGCTGTGGCAGCTATGGCGACGGCGCTGGCGGAGCGGATGATGAGGCCGCATATGACGGTTGCGAGGAGCGCAAAGGAGGCTTGAAGGGCAGCCGGACTAAGAGAACAGGTTAGCATTATCGTTTGGTTTCATATATGTGAAGATGATCAGATAAAAACGTACGAAACTTCAAGCTGGGTGCCCAAGCGACTGCTCAAGGCCGCCACAAGCGACGCGAGCTGCTCCACGAAACGCTCCATTGTCAATTCTCTCGGGCCTCGCGCATCCGTCGACCAAGTGAGAAGAAATTGAACAAACAAGAAGACGAACTGCCAAAAAGGCAACAAAAAGGAGCGGACAGAGTTGCAGGTTGAAAGGAGAATCAATCAGTCGATGCGCTACTGGAAAGTCGTTCGAATAAACTGCAGAGTGTGGGGTTAGGCCAAATGACCCCTGTCAGATGAGCATTGTCCAATCATTCTCGAGAATTTCTGCGCCAGCTAATATACTTGATGGATAACTTCATTCTATTGTGTGAAATACACTGAGTTACTTCTACTTCTAATACGCAATTGGGCTCATGTATATATACCGCCAAAAATACAAGGCACATTTCGGAAAAATCAAAAAGATACGCAAAAAGCATCATGAAATATATATAAAGCTTTCTCATTTCCTCCCCCAGAAACAAGCTACTACAATAAATTGATCCCCCTATTGTCCACGTATCCAGGCTACGGGCATCTTTCTAGCCAGCCTCAACGCCAGCACCACCGCTCTCTCCAGCAGCTATCCCTGCTTTGCTTTGCTTTGCTTTGCTTTGCTTTCGACATTTGATAAAAAAAAGGGAGGGGGTCAAGCGAGTAAAAAAAGCAAAAACAAGAGAAAACATCAACTTCCTCCAGCGCTCTCCTCTCAGTCTTACTCCCCCGCCTTTCGACCAAGTACATGTGTAATAATAAGGGCAAAATATACTCTTTGAGGGAATGAGTGCGTCGCTACTCAGGTCTAGAATGCAAAAAGCAAAGAGATAAGGAAAAAAGAAGACAACGAAGCAGAAAGGAGAAAATGAGGAGAAAATGAGAGAAACGAAGCGATAAAGCGGAATCAGAAAAGAGGAATATATCTTTCGACCAAAAAAAAAATGAAAAGCAAAGCAAGCAGACCCATAGTTCTCCGGTTCCCTTTCAAACGCCATGCAGAATAATAAAGGCAGGCCTCTCTCCCCCTTTTTCTCAAAGGCTGAGACAGCCTATCCCCCTCAACGGCGTCCTCTCTCTTCTCTTTATTTCTTCTTCTGTCTCATTCTTTCTTCTCCTCCTACCGTTGAATGGCAGGTCATATTGTGGTGGCACGTGTTACACATTTACGCGCATCCGAGTTATTTTTTTGGTCTTTCTTTTTTGTGGTAACTGTGCATTGTTTCCAATGCACACCTATATGCGGGATTGTCATTAACAAAGGCGGTAAGAGGGCAGCAATTCATAGATCGCTCATGCAAATCATCAAAAGCATGAATGACCCGATGCAGATGCGTAAAACACCACACATCTCTGCAGCAGGGACATTAAAAAGATGTGAACTAGAGGTGGGAAGATAGAAAGACTGGTCGTGATGTAAATATACAACGAAAAAAAAAGAGGCGGGTATTATTTTTTTCTTGGAACACTCCAGCCATGTCTATACATTATTGCTCTTAGTCAATGACAGCCCGCGCAGCCGTGATGTAAGGCCCGAGGCAGCATGGGACCGACTTGACTCGATGCGAGACAGTCGCGCAGCAGAGGTGAAATCACTGCTGGCCTCGTAACTGTATCGTATGCGGTCCATTGACTGGCGCATTCGATCATACGAGGGCCTGGCTCGGTCCATGCTCGGTCGGGTCTGCTGCGCTGGCACCTCGAGAGAGAAGCGGTTGCCAGTGTAGTTGGTGCTGTCACTGCCAGTCTGGCTGTGATAGTTTTGCGTCGTCGTTCGTGTCACTGTCGACGGGGGGTAGATTGGTCGCAGGTCTTCGTCGACGCTAGCATACTGAGCGTGCTTCGCCGCCCGGCGTGAGCTGCCGGACGACTTGGACTTTTGGCTCTTCTCGTCGCTGACGGCCTCAACCGTGGTGCTTTCCGTCTTGAGATGAGCAAAGGCACCCAGCCTCTCCTGCTCTCGAATAATGTCCACATCATAGGGGAAGAAGACCTTCTGCAGAGACTTGATGGCAAATCTTGGGAAAAGGCAGATGACGGGAACAAGCACGAAGACGGCCCAGAAAGTGGCCTCACCATAGATCTCCTTGGCGGCTCCGTAGAACTGGTCAGACGAAGTGAACGATGTGTAGATGCCGGTCCAGAAGAAGATGAAGATATCACTGAGAGCCACAATAAGGAGCATGAGCCAGTCCCATCGGTACGTGTTCATCAAGATGTATGCGTTGATGGTCAAGACGGCAGGGTGTGCAATATAGGCTCCAAATCGGTACCGGTCTTCCAATCCTAGGCCGTTCATCGTCACGGGTCGAGCAGGCATAAAGAGCAGATATGGAATGTAGAAAACCATGACGGATTGGTAGATACCATCAAGCATGTATAGCCTATTGCATTGTTAGTTTTATATAAACACAAGGACGGATGAGATTAGAGAGGAGACAAAAACTCACCAAAACTTCTTCTGTGTCCATTCCAGTCGTTCGATACCACGGCGATACAGCTGGGGTACGGCCAATGAGACGGAATCCGAAACGTCCTGGTCGAGGATGCCCATGATGGCAACAGGAATCGAGGTGAAGAACAGGTTAAACATCAGGACATAGGTGTACTCGAAGAGATAGGTCATGTCAAAATTGGTGTAAATGGAGAACCAGAAAATGCTGAAAGTCCAGACCATGTTCTTGTAGAAAAAGTTGGGAATACACTCGGCCAAGCGGCGGTATGACCAGCGTCCGTGAACCAACACCAGGCGCTGCAAGAATCGGAATTGGGCAATGGCATAGTCAGAAGACATGGAAGCCTGTCGACCCTCAACACCAGCAATACCAACACCGACATCGGCCTCTTGAATCATGGCAACATCATTGGCACCGTCACCAATGGACAGTGTCATGACATCCAATCCATTCTTGACCATGGACACAACGGCGGCTTTTTGCGCAGGGCTGACACGGCAGCACAAGACGGATCGGCATTGCTTGCACAGGAGGAGCATCTTTTGCTTCAGGCGGTCATCCAAGGCCCATCGAAGCGAGAAACCGTCAATGACCAATCCATGAGTAGGGGCTGGGGGCTCGTGGCTCTTTTTGGCTGCAGCAAGGTCTTCCTCGCCACCAGTCAATCCAAACGACTTCAGGCCCTCATCCAGCTGCTTCTCGATGTGAGAGATGAATATGTCTTCAGCACCTTCGCCCTCAGCGGCCTCCTCGTCGACCTGGATGCGAATGAGCTCCATATCGTTGTTGAGCAGGTTGCAGGAGAAACCAATGTTGATAGCAGTCTCGACTTTGTCACCGGTCAGAACCCAGAGCTTGATACCGGCCTCACCAAGTAGCTGAATAGTATCGGGCACGCCATCTTGGAGACGATCTTCAATAGCAGTACCTCCAAGAAGCATAAGATCTTGTTCGATAAGCTCAGCAACAGCCTCGAGTTTCTCTTCACGGTTTTCCAGGGCAGCGGCGGCGATATCATGTTCCTTCTTCCATGTACGGTATTCCTGTTCGGTAAGTTCCTTTTGGGCGATGCAGAGGGTACGCAGACCTTCGCGAGCAAACATTTCCAAGTGTTCGGCAGTGACCTGTCGCAGCTCCTTTTGCTCGCCCCTCCTGAGTCGGGCGTAGATGACCGAGTCGGCACCCTTGCAGAACAGCATGATTCGACCATCAGGCATCCGGATAATTGTACTCATTCGCTTTCGGGTGGAGTTGAACTCAATGGTGTTGAGGAGAGGATAGTGGCGTTCTTCACCCATGACGTTGAGATTGATACCATCAGAATTGTTGCCCAATACAATAAAACCCATATCACGAGCCGTAGCGACCAAAGCCTCTTCGTCGGGGGACTGGGCCTTGAAGATCATAGAAGGCGGGTCTCCAGGTGTGCGTTCGGCCATGACGGTGTGGCAAAGAGCCAAAGCGAGCATAAAGTTTTCGTTGGCCTGTTGCTGCTCGGTTCCGTGGTGACCAGCCAGATCAGCGACAAAGTCGGGCGCGATAAAAGTAACGGCATCGTCGTGGAGATATGGGTTTTCGTAGATTTTGCGGAGACCAATCAGTGCTTGCACTTTGGCTTCGGCGATTTCAGCGAGGATCCTCTCGGATTCCTTCTCGATATCAACACCCAGACGCTTCTGCATGCCAGCCTGAGCCTCAGTCCAGGCTTCACCATATGGCTGTCCGTTGATGGTAGCCTTCTTGAACTCCATGACGTTTTGGGTGAGCGTGCCGGTCTTGTCCGAGAAGACGTACTCAATCTGCCCAACGTCGTCGGAGATGTTCCAGGATTTGGGAATACAGGGCTGGTCGATCGGCTCGTAATACATTTCCACGTCGTTGAAGATGAAGATGGCCTGCAGGGTTCGTACGATTTCAAGCGTGATGTAGAGGGAAATGGGAACCAAGTTCTGGAAGACGATAATGGCCGCCCAAAAGGTGATGAAACCAGTAACGCCAGAGCTTCCGCCGATAGAACCGAAATCGAAAAAGTGCTGGGAAGCATCACTCTTGGCCCAAGACACGCCGCTGACAATGGCCGCGAGCAAACACATGATGGAGAGGATAATGAAGTTGCAAATGACGGTCCAGTTCATTTCTCGGGCGATGCGGGCACGCTTGCTGGGGGTGACACCGGCGTTCATCATGATCTTGGTGTCGTGTCCGGTGAAGACGACGACGCCCAAAATCCATTCAGTGTTTCGGAGGTTGCATCCTCGCAGCATCAGGTTATCGATAGTAATTGCCTCAGTCATTTCCTCGGGTTCGTCATCCAGGTAGCCGGGAACCTTTTGCTGCCACCGAATAGCACCGTTGTACTTGTACAGGTTGGGATGCGGACCCTCGCTTTCAATGCGGAACTGGGCACGCTCACAGTCTCGGGCATGTCGGATGCCACGTCCACAGCGAAGAGCCTGTCGGACCTTGAGATTCGTTTCGCCGTCCAAGTTTTTCGTTTCAACGTAGCAGGCGCCGTCGGGATCCGAAGTAGCCAGAATGATGACATCGGCAGGAAGCTCATCGTCCTTATAGATACGCACGAAATCACCAACCACAATGTTCTTCCAAGTATCCTTTCCAAAGCGGGCGCCCTGAGTTTGACAATCGTAGTTGATGAGATCCGACTTCATGGTGGAAATGGCGTTGGCTCGTTTGGCGTCTTCGCCCTGCTCGGGAAGCTGGAAGTGAATGGCGTTGGGCTTAGGCGAAGTTACGGGGGTCATCTGGATATCGTCGGAGTTGGAGACAATGGACTCGCGGCGTTCAAATGGCGACGCCATGGAATCGCGCGTGGCCCGCCTGGTCCGGACAGTTTCAATCGAAGTTCGAGGCTCGTCTTCAACAACAGGCATTTTGCGTCTCTGGCGTTCAGCACGAGCTTTCTTAGACCACGTGCTCTGAATGGCGCGCCATATACGCCCGAAGAAGGCAGAATTGGCTTTCTTGAACTTTCTCCAAGCCGAGACATTGTCTTCTTCAACATTAACGTTGGTCCAGCCGTGAAGTCGATGAACGGGTGCATTGTTTAGCTCGTTGTCGAGAACGGTTCGTCGGTAATCTTCAATGGCGTCTTTGATGGCAGTAAGACAGACGATGACAATCAGGGGAACAGCGTTCAATCCGGGATTAACGCTACCGAAGATGGAGAAGAACTGCAGGAGAAGACATGGTTAAAATTAGGGGGAAAGGTGGAGGGGAAACGAAGGGAGACTTGAAAGGAGATACGTACGCCCAAGATGATCAGAAACAAGAAGAAGATGTTGGCAATATTGTGGAATTGAAACCAAATGTTCTTTGGAACAAACGACAATGGGGTGTACTTGGCGGTTCGGATCTTGTTTCGCGGATACTCGGTGATGGGATGGCCTTCTTCCAGAAGCTCATCGGGGAGCGGCAGGTTGAAAAACAGATAACGGTTGTCCTGGTCATCCTCAGAGCCGTCATCAGAGCCAGCAGCGTCACCATTTTGCTTAGGGTTCTCATCATCCTGGCCATCATCACCATCTGGGTTCTGGCCCGGTGGAGGAGCGCCACTGCGGCGCTTCTCACTGGCACTGGACTGCGTCCGATTGTGCATGCGGTTCAGCAGCGACGAGCGTTTGTTCGCGCTGCTCTTGACCGTCATCTTACGAGTGGCCCATCTCGCCCTCTGTGTCTGTGAGAGCTTTGACTTGGGTGAAGTGGGATTGGCGCTCTCATCGGGAGGCGGCGGCGGCGGTGGTGGAATCGTGGTCGTCATTGTGACTGCGGTGTCGCGGGCAAGCGCCCGTTCAGCCGTAAATGGCCAGCCAGGTCGAAATTGAGCGAGGCGATGAAATGAGCGGCGCAATCAGCGTTGGAAAGATACAGAGTCGCTTCGATGCAGTCGTGAAATGGAGGCTCGACGAAGGAAATCGGGGGCGGAACACACGGCCCAGGCGTCGAGGGCACGATTCGATGCGAAAT